AGACATTTACAGAGGGAGACCAATACCTTGACCCAAAGCAGAAAGCCAGTAGGTGTCACAGCTCACTAACACCATGGACTCCCATTTTGCACCAATACTTGTTCTGTAAAGAAAGCCAAAGGATGCAAAGGACTTCACCCATGAAACTGCAAGACTAAAGCAAATAAAATAATTAAATAAATAAATAACTCAATTTCCTTCTCCCAGTCCTGACTGGTAACAATACAGGAAGGCCTCTCATTTAACCATTTCCATACATACTTTTTCATCTGGGAATGACAAACTGGAAAATATATTATGCAATACAATGATCCCAGTGTTGTGTTGGTGATGTGAACAAGATGAGCCCAAGTAAAGTTTTCCACAATGGGGTTTCTCATTAACCAGCCACTTATATTAAGGAAACTGGGCTTGTGGCATACATTTGCTGTTGAAACACAACAAAATACACAGTGTCAATTATATTCAGAAGACAATCTAAAAAATTGGTTACCACTTTTCCAGTTCTCAAACCAAGATACTGAGATTAATAACATTTTTTCCCCAAAGTGATCTGTTGCTTCCTAGGACGCATACTTTAAAACAAACAAACAAAACCAAAAAATAAAAACCATCACCCCCCAAACAAAACTAAATAAAAACCCACTTTAAAAATAACATTTTCATCTACCTTATAGTAGGTATCTGACCCTTCCTGTCTTTCTGGTAATAAGATTGCATCAATGGAAAGTGAGGGGATGAAAAGGGAGTGAGCCAAGGAGTTCAAGCTTCAGATCAGCTCTTGCAGAGGAAGACTGGATGGAGTAGATGGAGCTAGTGATCTTCCAGCTTGGCTCCACACACATCTAACCCCTCTGCAGGGGAAAATGTGCCACATCTTTTTATGGCTCTGATTTTGTATTTTTCTACCATCCTCTGGTGTTTTATGGGGACAAGCAGTCTCCTTGCAGGACATCAGAAAACAGTCAAAACAGCTTTATTCTGAGCACACTTAAAAAGCAATTCGGGAGATCAAGAGGCAGGCAAAAATCACGGACAAAATGTAGGTGCCACAGAACTATAATAATGGTAAATAACAGCTATAGCAAATTTAGAGACTATTTTGATTAGTCTGCCAGAGGTAGAAGTAATGTTGAGTGACCAGCAACAGATTGATTTTTCTCTGTAAGCTAATGCTGTTCAGTGTCTGAATTGTAGTTATTACTCTACTATTATCCGAGAGCCAAAAATCTACTCAAGAATTTCCTTCCTCATGCACAGAACACAAAATCTAGGAGTAAGAACTCAGGACTAAATTAATCTAAATATAAATGGTTAATGCATGTGAGAGATACATGTTTTTCTCCAACTGGAGCTACTAATACTTCCAGTTGTTAATATCTGATTCAAAAAGTCTGAATTTCAGCCATCATATAAAGCAAGGACAAGGACTCATGGTTAGCTACAATGTGGTATACGAAGGCAATCATGCCAGATTTCTATTATCATGGTGAGATTCTGTGACTACATTAAGCCAAGTTGCCTGACAGCTATGAAAAAGACAGCTTCATCCACTTTTATCAGAACACTGACCTTTTCAAGAAATAATAGAATATATCCTGCTATCATTTCTCACATGAAGCTCCTGTTGAGGTCAATAGGAATTTGGCGTCAAAATGTGAAATCAGTACTTGGCCCATAATGTTTAGTGCTGCATAACAGGCTATTGGGAAAGGATCCAATGTTAAGCATCAGTTCTCATTAATTACACTGCAGATTCCATTTCTAAAGACTTTCTATCATTTATTGTGCAAATTAAATACTGAGAGCCAGATCCTCAGCTGATGTAGATCAGAATACCCATGATGAAGTCAAAGAGATAAGGTCAATAAAGATCAGTCAATGAATTCAATACAGCTAAGTAAAATTACACCACAGAGAATCTGGCCCAATGAATAATTCTCTCATCTAATCAACATTGCAGATTTTTTATCTGCAGTGACTGATCTTTGCTGCATATCCTGTGCCTCTTCACGTGTGGAAGGTCAAAATATGAAACTGGTGGAAAACCTCTGTGAAGAATATACAACAGAAAGCTGTAGCATGAATAAATCCACTTCTGAACTGCAATATAGCGTTGTGCTCTAGTAGAATAAATAATGTCCTCTACTAAATTTAGTAAAGGTTTGGATTTTTGTCATTATGAAGCAATACTGTAATTTGCTATTGTAAGAGCTTCTACTTACAATTCAGCAAAAAGGTGATGATCACTTTTGTACCTTGCCTACTCACTGTGATGAATTTTATGGTTCTTTGTATTACGTCTCAAAGGAAATAGTTTATATGTTTATTTTGTGATGCAGTCGCTGTTAAGTATGTAGCTTTCTCTCCTCTTCTCTGAATCTGAATTACCCAGTCTGGACTTCTGACTGATCCTCATTCCAAAGAAAATATATTTGACCTACCTTGTAGTTTATGAGCTTATAACATTAGAATTTCTGGAGGTCAAAAGCCTCTACACAGACATTCCTTGAATCAGATAATAACATTTAGAGAATAGTTTTAATTCAGTCATAGAAGTCATTTTACCAAGCCAAAAGTACTATTATTTTTGACAATAATAATTCATAGTACCGTAATGTACTAACAAGAAAACAGGACTCTGTTACACTAAGCATTGCTCAATTGCAAACCAAGCCGACAATCCCTTCCCAGAAAAATAATAATCCCATTAAGTCCATTCACAACCTCTACCATATTCCTCAGAGCAAAGGGTTGCCTTCCATCCAAGCATGATGCAGTCAAAGTTGTAGTCAATGCAAACACACTTGGTAATCCTATGTGGTAACAAGTCATTCTGTGTGTGTGTCTAATTTCATCAGTAGCATTTGCAGTAAATCATTACAACCTCAGTATTTATTTTGTAAACTGAAAGATGGAGACGAATCTGACGTGTCAGACCATCCAGCATGCTGACACATCCAGTGAAGCACTAGATGGAGCACTTACTGCTGTGTCTGGAAAAGGCCCCCAGAAAAACCAACTCCATTACCCTCCTCCCTATTTGTAATATACTTTCAACTTATGTTTGAAAGCCATCAAAATATGAAATGATCTTAAATATGGAAGCTGCATGACAACATTTCAATTAAAAAGCTTTTAGGAAAAGGTCGTGGAGAGCATCTATAATATATTTCAAAAGGTTTTGGAAAGGAGGGTACAATATGGGTCACATCACAATTATGGCAAATTGGGTAAAAGAGAGTTTCCTGAGACTGCTCCAAGCAGAATAAAAGTGATTGAGAAAGTCACAATATGACAGATATTAATAACTACTACCTATCATAATGTCTGATATAGTATCTTTTATCTCAAAGGATCCCAAAGCGCTTTGTAAAACTCTGCATGGAATAATTTCTTTTATCACTACCATGTTTCCATATTTCTCAGAAAGCAGTGCACTGATGAACTCTACACAGTAGCACAGCATGAAATTTTTCAAAATCCCAGAAAGTGAAGAATACCTTTTTTATTTGAAATTTGGGCAGGAAAATGGTGCATTTGTGTCTAAGTTCTAACTAACACAGTACATTTTCAATAGCAAATATCCTGAAGTGCTGATGTACCTCTGCCCCAAACCAAGAACATCTAGCACCACTGTACACTTTGTAACAACTTATTTAAGATCAGCTCAAAAGAGGAGCATTAATTACTGAATCACCAGGAATATGGCTTTTGAGATCCACGAGCAATACTGAGGTTTCCTATCAAACTACTCCCTCAGATTAAGATAATATGATTTATCAGACCTGCAAAGATTCCAGCCCTGATAACATGGCAAATCACATGCTCCTGCAGTACTGTTACCAGAGAGAGATAGAAAACATAAAAAAAAAAATAATCTTGAAATCTTCCTAATACCTTAAAATCTGGGTAAGATGACCTGTTTTAAATTACATAATGTGTTTAAAAATAAAAATAAGCAAGGAAATTCATGGATTAATGAAGAGATATTTTTAGGGGTGTGGCTCTAATGGGCTTATCAATATTAATAAAAATGGTATCCTAAAAAACAAACAAAAAACAAACAAACAAAAACAAACAGGATCTAAACAAAGCCCTATCACTAAATATAAAACATCTCCACTTAGAACTTGATTCACACTGCCATATTCCTACCTATTTGTCCTAAACTCTGTGTTAATTCTTAAAAACAAACGAACAAACATCAATGCAGAAAGTTAATCCTTTCCTACTGCTCACGAGGCAGTGAGGAAGCACACCTTGTGTCAGAAGAATGCAAAGTGATAGGAAAAGAGCTTCCTTCCACAAAACTTGTCTTGTGTCTTAGGAGGCATTTGATTTCTGTGACTAAGGATTTAATCTGTGTTTTTTTCCCCATGCCTGTGAAGGCTGAAGGAGTAATTATTTTATAGAAGGACAGACTAAGTAAATGATTTATCTGCAAAGAAAAGTAAATCTGTAACCCTTATTTGTAACCCTTAGCATTTCCCTTTTTCCAGGTCCTGCAACTGAAAATGCTTTTTTTTTTTTTTTTTTCAGAGATTTTCATAGCTTTGATGATTATAAGACAAATATCTACTTAGTTTTTCAAAGTCAGAATAGTTTAAGGTCTTCAAAAATCAGTGAAACTCCTTTTACTGCTTTCAAAAACCCTCACACCAGACTACAGTTTTCCAAAACATGAAACCCTTCCTTATTTACATGAATTTGTCTAGGTCACATCTCTTTGTTGAATTTCCCTCCTATAAGCTCCAGACTTCACGTTCAGGTTGATATGTTTTAGTGGGCTGCGTATGTAAGAGAACATTGCAATACTATGGGTACTACCAATAACCACTCATATTTTTCTATTATTTCTTAGAAATCATCTAAAATCTGCATGTGGGGATTTCCTCCCTCCCCAGTCCACCACACTGCCCATGTGTGCTGGCACATGTACACAAGCACACACACACACAAAGGACTATTTTGTACTGACATTCAGCTGCCAGCTCATTTTATTCTGGTCTTTATAAAATAATATCCTAAGTAGCCTATTAGCTTTAAGGTCAAAATCTTTGTCTATTTTCTAAATCTGTTCTCTTCTCTCTCCCCCCTCCCACTTCCTTTCCTTTCATTACCCTTTCCTATCAATTATCTCATCCTTGCCTGCTGCCCATCTGAGCAAGCCAGCAGGACCCCCTCAGTGCCCGCCAGATTGTCTCATTCAGCTAGCTCTCAGGTTGCTGCTGATTGCCGTCTTTATTCATTACCAAAACACTTGCTACATGGTGCTTGGGCCCTGGCAACCAAACTCTAAATCCTGCCAGTGAGAAGGTAATTACTAGTACACCACAAACAGAGAATGGAGTCTGCTGTGAGTTGTTAGAAGCAGCCGTGAGATAGACCCGGGCTATTTTCCTGCAACTGTAGCTGACTACTTGCTTGTCACTTGGTATGTACTAATGACTGCCCTTCTTATTTATTTATTTATTTATTTTTGTAAAAATCTGAAAAAAAATATAGTTCTAAACAAACTCACAGATGTGTCAATTTACAGGTGGGGAATACAAAATATGGTGTAAGAGGAGTTTTACCTAGGCTTTCATCTACAGATTTATGAAGTGGCTGCAGCCATCAGGGCTACTTGAATGCAGAAGGTATCCTGAGAGCCTTTTCTGATCCACAGGAGCCTATGTCCAGGGAGAAAGTTAATTTTCCTTAACTGTTTGCTGAGCTAAAATAGGTAATAGACAGTCTGTGTTAGGCAGCCAAAGTCTTCCAAGCCATGGTTTGCCTTCCTGAATCAGTTAAACATTACTTCCAAATGATCTTAGTCCTCGTTCTCTCATTGTATGCAAACTGCAAGAGGTCTCTGCTTGTTTAGTCCTTTGTATTTACAACTCTTCCCTTTAAACACCTCTTTCAAATTTTTACTCTTTCACTTGGAAACCAAAGCTGACCAGTTTTGTTACTTCTAAAACATATTTACTAGTTGAAGATATTTCTGACATCAGCTGAAAAGTTCTGTGTGTCTTTTGCATCTGCTTTTCAAATCCTTAATCTTTAAAGTGCTCACAAACAAGGCAAATGCCTTAATGCTAAGCAGTCTCTAGCAGATTTGAAAGTGAAATTCAAGTGGCATTTATCTCCCCATCAGTGGGAAGGATTTATCCTATTACCTATCACTGCCATTGACGAGCATTGGTCGTGTAAATCTCTAACATGTAAAGGGAACCAGACTCATCTAAAACTTTTCATATAAAAATATCACCTTTGATCCAAGTAATACAGAACTGTATGAGAACAGTTATAGTGAGAATACTGTATATCACAAGGGAAATAATTGATATATTGAAAGAAAGCCAAACAGATTTTTATTTTTTTTTAAAGGAAAAATCTTTCATACCAGAGTTAAAAAGACCTTGCCCCTGGATTTGTTTGCAGTGCTTTGCTTAAGGTTTAATTCTATTGATTACACATTCCATTTTCCAAAGTGCCATTTGCCTGAAGGAGCAGGTGGTGTTTGCTGTTTCCATTTAACTGATATATTAGCCATGTGGTGCACTGCATCAGTGGGCAGTATTAATCAATTTACGGCAAGATGACAGAGAGAATCACTCACAGCAAAATTGCAAGGGGGAAAAAAAGGACAAAAGCAGGAAAATAATGACCACTAATGGGGAACTTGAAAACAGGAAAAAAAAAAAAATCTGTGCTTTTAATTCTTCTCTTTCACAACAAATGAAATTGGAAGAATTTCAGAACAGCCAGTGTTAGAAAGGAGACAAATATCACTAAGTCCACTAGAGGACTTTTTATAAGCGCTTTGCTGTTTGGCATTATGGGATGCATACACAGTCAAAGATCTCAGATACTTGCTGACAAACTTATATTTCCTTTCCTTAAATGAAAGCAAAATGCATCATACAAAATCAAAGTTGGTTCAGATCTTTTATTGGAAGAATAGTTCAGTTTCTATATGTGATAACTAATTTTGTATAAAGCTATTATCTACATTATTAAAAAAAAAACATTTTGAGTTTACGATTCCATGACAGTGAGGTGGTTGTGTTTCAAATCATCTGGTTCCTTCCATTCATAAGATCTCATTTCCAAAATTTGACCAAGTTGTATGTTGTTCTGTAATTATTAGTCTTCAAAAAATACATATATTGATTTAAATGCAGTGAGAAAACAGAGAAAGATACAGACAGAGAAGGGCAGATGACTTCCTATCTTTTTGCAGTCAGGAAATGCATACCTTCAGAGATTACAGAAAATATACCAAAGTTTAACTAAATACTTTCACAGTCCAGATTGCGTTCTCAGCCACAAAGCAGTGCAAATGAAGCCTTGGCAGAGGAGTCTTAGGCTCCCCAACAATGTCGCTATCAGCAACTCAGAAGGCCTTGCTCTCTCCAGCCTTCCAGCGGGGCTGGAGTCTCAAAGACACATACCAAAATTGCAAACCCACATATTAAAATTCAAGCACCAACAATAGCAATGTTTTTTGAAAGATAAAAATGTAGAAATGCCTTCTATAACACATCAAATGCATTGTAAATAAATGCTTCCTGTAACACAGCAAATGCATTGCAAATAATGAGGGGGAACAAAAGAACAGACAGGATATTTATGTCATGATGTCAGCACTAATGTATTGCTTTTGTTTCAGCGTCTAATTATATTTTAAGAACTGGATGGAGTTTGATGACCTGTTTAGTCCCAAGATTCTATCACACCTCTCAGATGTGTAAAAGTAAAAACAAACAAACAAACAAACAAACAAAAAACAGAAAACAAACACCTGTCCTGGGGAGAGAAAAAGCAGAGAAATCATTGTAATTCTATCAGGTCAGATGAACTGGGAGAAGACCGAACACAGATATAATCCTCCTGCCACACCAGGTGAGGAGTACAAGAAGTAAAGAAAGACAAGCAGGGAGTGGGACGCAGCTAAAGGAGAGGCCAACAGATGAGCAGAATGTTTCTCCATTCAGCCTCTGCAATAGTTACTGGACATAAGTCCCAGGAGCCACACTGGAGAAAAGTAGAAAACTGTGCACTCCTGTACTTAACCTGGTCGCCAAAAGGTTTGATCTGGACATTCACAATGAAAGTTTCAACATATCCATCTAGCATAACACGTATGTTCTATGAATATATATAAGAGCAGGGTATTTTAAAAGAAATATAGACTTACTGATTCCAGTAGTAGTAGTAAAGGAAATTTAGAAATTTCAAGATTGGAACAAGAGCATCAAAGACCAAGAACTCAGCAAATCTACCCTTGGCAACATAAGGTAAAATGTCCGATTCACATTGTTTTGTTATAGAAAGGAGATAAATTCAACAGTTTCCACTGAAATACAGGTTAAAACTGTAAGGAATGTGAGCCCTTGTAAAAGGGAAGACACCACTTAGGAAAACTGTCAGATGTTCCTGAGGGGCATGTTATATATCTCCTTACACATTGTCTCCCTGAAGCTGACTTATCCCTGAGTATCAGCATGCATTTGATTGTTTAATATTCTATCCTTCCTTAATGTTTTAAAGTACCACAAAACACTGAAACTATGCTTCATAAATTAACAAACAATAATAAAACAGTGCTTGAGGAATCTGTTTAAATGATACAATATTAGCATAAATCATAGGCTTAATGAGAACTAAGGAAACATTTGACAACAGAGCATGATATGGCATAATTCAATAAAATAAAGTTATAACAGCTCTCAGTAGCACCAAATCATTAAATAAATTCAGCAAACTTTTCAATTAGACACAACTTCCGTGGATTTAATAGACTTGCTAATAGTTTGCTTTTGTATCTTTTGTGGTTTTTCCTCTTTGCATCTCTGGACAAAGAAAGGGTTTGAACATCTGAACAAACTCACAGGGCGTAACTGAAGATGATAAGAATGTGAAAAGCAGAACTGGGAACATCACTTTAAGACATTAAGTGAAATTATACATGGGCTAATTTACAGGCTAGGGACTTTTAAGGGAATTTTCTTTTATCTTCATGTGCTACTTCATAGCAAAACATTATCAGGAAACCATTTCAAAAAAATCATGCCAGCATAGGAATTGCCACAATTAATGAATCTCATGGACCAATCTTCTCCATTGTTCTTTCCTTAAAAAAACGTCTAACAGCATGTATTTTGGAAGAAAATGAGAAAAAGCCCCAAAGCCTTACTTCACACAGCTGTTCAGGTAAGGTTACTCCCTTTGGTCTCTCCCTAATCCCTAATATGAAATAATTTAATGGTGGAACATATGTTTTAATAGTATCTGAAACTTGTTAGACAATTAGTACTCAAGTTTTTCTTGTTATGCATTCAAGGATCTAGGGGAGTGTTCCCATATTTTTGTTCTGTTACATCTGGTGGCTCTGAGTTTCACAAGTGATTCTCTATATAAGGACTACTCCAGTAGCAGTGACTATTCTTGCTATTCTGTGGATAATTATTATTTTTCCTAGTTTTATGTCTGTTTTCTGTGGTGTCTGGTGTAATGCACTACATAAAGGAAAAAGATGTTACATAGCAGCTGCTAAATGTTCTACCATCTTTGCCAAGCTATACAGCTCTCTTATTTATGCAGGCAGACCTTGGGTAGGAGATGCCAGTTAGTTCAGAAGATGCAGTGTGTTCAAGCAGCAGTGGAAAGGACTATTCACATTTCTACCCACTGAAATGCAGGACATGGAAATGGAGGTATTAATATCCGTTTGACTTTCCTACTTTAATATCCTCACTGAGAGATCACTGCCCAGACATCAAAATGTTTTTAGTGGTGATGTAAGGCTTGTTGCAATAGATAACCAAAAGTCATGACGTAGGAGCAGGGCCCTAACCTTAACTTTTCTACATTATTGATTTTCATTTTTGTTTGTTTGCTTGTTTTACACACCCAAACACATAGTTCTGGGGTCAGGCTGCTTATATGCATTTGTGAAGGGCTTAATAGAATAAGGCTATTTATATTTTCTGAGAGAAGGGAAAGTTGCAAGTGCCTTCATCACAGTGACAGACCTTAGCAATAGAAATGATGCCACTGATGGTTATGATCCTGGTGCACATTCACTGCACCTGAAAAGGTTGCTTTTTACCTCTGTCTTTACCCTTTTACCACTACCTTTCAAGTGTACCATGATTACGACCATAAGCTGATTCTTCTCTTTTTCTCCTAAAGACAAGCAATTTGTTTTCTCAACTGTGATGATGCCCTTTCTCCTGGCCTGGCACATCACTTAAAGTTGGTTGGCATGATGTAAGGGAGGGGAGAGGCTGGCCTTCATCAGCAATTCTGCACAGATATGCCGATGTAGAATAAAAGCAGCCTTTTCCACACCAGGCTGCTTATTAAACAGCTCTTAATGGTCTGCAAAACCTTCCCTCTTCCCTCTCCCTCCAAAAATGTGCATTGCTTTATGGGGCTTGTGGGAACTACAGGCTGACTACATAGAACTAGAAAAGGATGAATTCTAATTAAGAGATAATGTCAGTGGAATAGAACTTTGTCACAGGATAATGATCCCCTGCTGTTAGATAAATATGGAAGCAAAACTTAGGCAGTTTTTGAAAATAAACATTGAGGTGAAGCCAAGATGTTTATACTCAGAAAGGGAAACATTCATCCCTCTGCAGTATTTCTATTTCATGGGGTTTTTTAATTAAACAAAACCAATCCTTTCCTCCCACCCAACAAAAAACATCTTCATTAATGACCTTAGTCTTGCAAACCATCACGAATATAAGATCCTCTCTTAAATCAATAAGAGAGTTGTAAAGCAGTACTGTAAGATTCACTCCATGGAAGTAATAGTTTTGAGAATATGATCAATAACACTTAGCAACTCTTACTACTATTTTTTCCACTTATTAATAATCAAATTACTAGCTATAATGAGCCAAACTACCTTTTGGCAAAACTCCTTCTTGTCAGTGGATGTATGCCAGCAGGCAATTTGGTTCAGTGTTTTACATATACTGTATTCAGTGGGCAAATTCTGATCTGTTACCTGTTTATATTTGGAATATATCAACACAAGTCAGTGGAATTACAAAGTGAAAACTATGCAGGATCTGTTTATTAATGCTCTCACAGTGTCTTTAATTTACAATTTCTTGGAAACTAAGAACAAAATACAGCATGAAAAATATAGTGACATTTTAAGATCTGAAGCAAAAAGCCCCACAAGCTCTATGGCAGTCCCAACCGTAGGCTGTGTGTTTTGCCCCCTGTTGAAGGGGAAAGCCATTCCCCTGTTCTTGCTCCCCTGGGTTGTCTGTGAATCTCGTAAGTGATACAATTCAGGTATACATGTACTTGTAGGTCTCAGGTCCTCGGATACTTTTTGGGTAAATTATACAAATGAATGTCACTAACAGACTGACGAACAGGCTTGCCCCAGTACAGCTTCACCTCGCTGATGCCAGCACTGGAGTAGCTTCTCTACTACCACCAGGAAGATGGCAGGAGCAAGTATTTCAAGGATGCCATCGAGGCATCGAATGCCAGCAAGCAAGCAGCCCAGACATGCCAGCAGTTGAAACTCATCTCACATGACAGAACCTACAGCACAAAGATTCAGCTGCTTCCTTTCATAATTTAGGCTCCCTTCTACCCCGAATTACAGATTCTGTCAATTGACAGTAAAGTGTCATGCATGTTTCTCCAAGAATAAGCATACTTTTAGTTAAATTGATTAAATGATTTTTGTACGTTTCTGTATTGTTTTTCTGTTCTGTTATTTTCCCAAGATGGTATCTAGCTGCCAGAAATAACACTCAGGAAAATTCAGAGGAGTGTTTTTTTCTTTTTCCTTTTTTTATTCTATATGAGCATGTATAAAATAAAATCAATTAAAAAGCAGGAATGCAATTTCTAGTGGCACTTTGCAATGACTGATTAATATATTTTGAATATTTTCCACTGTAAATTTGCTTTGCTTGATTTTCTTCCCTTGGAAACTGCTATTTAGTAAAAACTAATCAACATGTCAACATTTTGTTTATTCTTAAACAGCATCATTTATTATTATTATTACAGTGTCACTTTGTTGTTTGCCATGTAGAGGATTCTACGAGCGTCAGCTCCCCACGTGGCCCACCTATTTGACATTCAGGCTGCTTGCCCCCTCTTCCACTGCTATGACAAGGTTATACAAAGTCTGCAGCCCTGCAAAAACAGGTTCCTTTGGAAGCTGAAACTCTGACAGACTTCGTACACAGCAAGGCATCCGTGACATCTTGGCGTCTGCCAGCTCCATTCTTGCTTGATTAGCTCTTGGTTACCTCAGTGATAATGTCTGGAGGCACTGATTAATGTACAATAATGGTACATCTCACTGGAAAGATAAGCTTATAGGAGATCAATTAAACAGTGGCAATTTCACAGGCTACAAGCTAGAAGAATGGTACTCACAGCCTTTTCTTGGAGCTATTTTTTAATCAGTTTCTTCTGCCTGCTCTAGAATTTTCATATAAAACAGTAACTATCATAGGGGGAAAAAGAACTACCCTGAAAATGAAAGGTGACGGTACCCATTAAAATTACAAGGGAAAATGAATATGAATCAAGGCCCCTGAACATTCCTTCAGCTGTCAGAAGGTTACAAATTCTGCTTTGATGATAAGACAAGAAGTTTTTTGAAATGCAAACTTGCCATAAATGGTACATAGGAGAATGCCATTGTTTCATGCAATTACATTGTTGCCTGGGCAACCATGTACAAAAGTTAATGTAAGTACAGGTTTAAAGATGAAATGTCTCCTAAATTGGAATAAAAAACCATTTAATAGTATAGATGATCCACAGGAAAAAAAAAAAAAAAAAAAAAAGAGAGAAAAAAAGACACGAATGTAACTATAAAAAGACCTCTCCTTGAGCAGGAGTATAAATTAAAGGTTACCTTCCTCCTCCAGTTTTTAGTCAGATATTTTAATAATAATAAAAGCAAAAATCTTCAGGTACTATATGTTAAATAGATATAACAATGGAAAATTTAAGAACGCAAATATTATCTTGCTATTAGAAAATTTTAGAGATTCATCATGTAAATAACAAAGATTTCAAAAGATAGCTGTTTTTATAAGGGTTTTTAAAACAGACAACAAATTATTTTGCCCTAGAAAACAGTACTATGGGAAAGTATTTTATTGAAATGTATCCAGCAATTGTTCTTCCAATAACTATATTTAATGCAGATGGGGGAGAGAGAAAGCCTATATTGTACTGGGCAGTCAGTTTTATTACTGGAATGACTACACTTCTTCCTATCATCAGCCTGGATTTAATAGCAGAATTATGGCCCATTATGTCTATTGCAATGACTTCTCCGGAACAGGGTGGCCAAAGATATATTTGAATGTGGAACTAAAACACATTGTTGGATGTAGTCTTCAGGGTATTTTGCATCCCTGGTCACATGCCAAAGTGGAGAAGCATCCAGAAATCATGAGAGAGAGACCAATGAGATAGCTAAAGAGCAGAAATAAAGACAGAAAAGGATCATCCTTGCTCTGCATTGATTTATTTTTTTTTTTAAATCAGAATATAATCTACAAAGAATCTTGCATTTATACCCTTACTTTTAAATGACCACAGCTGCCTCTGATGATAATATGAGCATAACCCTTTGTAGAATAAAAATAGTATTTTTCTTAATTTGGAGGGAGAATTAGAAATACTCTATTTTGTTTTCCTTTCCTTTCAAATGTGTGTACTGTTTTTTAAAGAAAGATAAAATGTTCCTCTGCCTTTGTCACTGTAACCTTAAACAAAAAGTCTCCAGTATTTTGGTGGGACAAAGCACAGGAAAACATATTGAAAGGAACAATGCTGAACTACTGGATACATAGAGTAGCTGACCTAGCAGGTCTTTTCCATCTCTTATTTCTTTGACTGTGAGAAATGGTAGAAATGCATAATAAAGTCCAACACATATTCAGTAAGACACCAAGTAACACAGAATAATACAATTTTGCCTGTGTTAGGAAACAGTAAATGTATTTTGCTGGAAAAGTCAGGTAGGAAGAAAAGAGATTTCTGGCTGATGTTGAAAGAAAAACCTCTTTGTGCTAATCCAGTTGGGCATGATTTTCACAAGTGCAGAACACTTAAAACTCCACTTGAAGTCAATAGAAGCTGCAAGTGCTCAGCACTTCTGAAAATCAAGCCCCTCGGGAACTGGTGAAGAACAAAGAGCAAAGAACTTGTGCATCGGATAAACTGACTGTCAAAATTTGTAGAGCTGCCATCATCTTCTCATTTAAACATGTTCTTAACACCTTCCTCTGCCTCTGAGTGATAGCTACAAGTCACTCCAATCTGGCACTGGTTAGGCAAGCAGCAAGCTAAGATTTCTGCTTTTATGCTAATGCATTTGTTTCAGAGTTATCATCACGCCTGTACCAAACCCTCATCTGTCCTTGTTTATCTATTTAACACACCTGTTTGTGCATTGTTTCCTACCCAGGTTGATGTTATTAGAACAGATACCTCCATAAAACATCAATTAGAGGTAATCAGCTCTTTCTCTCTCTCTCTTTTTTTTTTTTTTAGATGTGTTATAAAGGCTCTCTCCATACTTGGAAGACCAAAAAATCCATAAATTATTTAGCCTTGCCACAGTGGTTATTAACCTGAGCTTGTAGAAATGCAAAATTATCAAGTTCACATTACAAACCACAGGTAATTGGAAGGTATCAAACTCTGTGCGTCTGTCAGATTATATCAACACAGTTAAGAACAAAAAAAGGAACTGAACATTGAACCCATCTCTGAAAAATGTACCAGTCACTTCAACAATTGTAGTTTGCTCCTGAGGAAATGTGAAAACTTAAGACCATGTCTGTGCAATGAAGAAATGAGATCTTATTGGAATTCTTATGAGGAAGAAAAGTCTTGGTATGACTCATAAAATAATAATAGTATGAATAATACTTTGTATTGTTTTAGTGCCTTCTGTCTCAGAAGCTGAAAGTAACTTTATAAAAATTAATGGATTAAGCATGACAATACACCGTTCAGGTGTACCATTATCTTTGTTTTACAGATAGCAAGCTGAAGGCAAACAGATTCTAAATGACTTGCTGGACTAACACTTGGAGAAAGCTCCAAATACAGCTCTTGCAGGGAATGTAGGCCTTCTGAGGAATCAGGGCAAAATTATCACTTCATTTGTCATTATAAGCCAGAGGATACCAAAATGATTTTGAACCTGATGGTCAGTGACATTTGAGGGAACACAAATCTCAATAATTGCTAATTTCCTCCTGAAGTCTGGAGGGTAGAGAAGACAAAGATCCAATACAGTGTTCCGCTGACATCAAGTTGTATGTTTCCTATATCTGTTGGTTGGCAACAATCCCTGATAATCATCATGAACACAGAGTTCAGGACAAGCCACAGGTTTTTTCCTCCACCCACTGGATCTCATGGAGCATGTTTTGGGGTGAGGGTGAGAATTGGGGTTAGTGGAAACAGATCTGTAGGATGACAGGGTTAAATAGTTCTGCTAATAGAAAAATGATATGTGCTTAGTTAATAAACAAAATTTATTTCAGGACCACTTCGTTAGGGGAAAAAAAAATAAATCAAATACCTGAGCACTAAAATACATCTTTGAATAACTATCCTCCATTTATGCCAAATGACATAAGCTTGGATTGCCACCAATCCAGTGTACTTTGCAAAAAAAAAAAAATCTTAATCTGTCTGAAATGGAAGAGCTGTCACACCGAGATAAGCTAGAAGACCACAGTTTTACTAAAAATTGCTATCTGGAAATTCTTTCTGTAGCAAGGTAAACAGTTCCAGCTAACATACTTTCTACAGAGTCAAAGGAAATATTTTCAAAGGATAACTGAGGTTCACATACCAAAATGCATATGAATTTCTCTGTGCTACTTATATCCTTATCTTTATCATGACTGGACTCCTATCGCACTGCCAATTTAACAAAAGTGAACTTCAAAAATCTGAGTTCACATTCCTGTTTTCAATTGCAAAAATATTTGTCTATAGGCATAAAAGTAGTCATGCAGAAATGTGAATTGGTAAGCTTCAAACTAATGAAAAATCTATCCGGATGCATATCCTGGGGACAAGCCAGAATTATATGGTTTATTTACACCCTTGGATTCAGTCAGGCCAGATCTTACTGACCACAGCAACTTCTGGAAACATGCAGTTGTTGGTGTATTATTCATGTACTGCTACACAAACTTAACACAAAAACAAGGACATATTGGCTACAGTAAAAAAAGCTCCTCCCTAATATGTTTATGACTAATGTTTATTACTAATGTGTGGAAATAAATTATTTGCTTTACCTTCTTCCTAAAGTGACACAAGTATAATGTTGGCAAATGTACCATGGACACTTTTCAATCTTCTGTAGATTTTAAAGACTGCTGTAAGAGTCATATGAATCCCTTCAAAAGATGAAGTTTGCACATGTGTGTATATGTGGCTCTGTGTGTGTGAGGTATGGAAGACTACCTACTTCATTTCAGTTCAGTCATAAAGCTCTAGTGGTACTAAATCATCATACCACCAGGACTAGATATCTTTGAAGGATCTTTGCACTTGAAGCTGTCCTAATCTGAGATCTGATTCTTTTTATCTCTTCAGATCAGTTGAGCATGCGATATGTTAGAGAGCAATGTAGAAGCATAGCTGATGAGTTCCCTATTTAATAACAATTTGAGATAAAAAGAAGAAATTTCCAAGTCTTCAGAACTGTCCCAGAGTCAACTGCCTTTGCTCAAGCTCATCATCTGTATTTGTACGCAGTTAAAAAGACAGACGTGGTTTTGTAGGATAGCTCCAGTACAGTAAGTTTACAGAGGACCACAAGGTTCAACAAGTTTGATTCGCTGTGTGATACAATTCAATCCCTCAGTGTAAAGGCTCCTAAATCCCAGTGAGCGAACACACCAGCTAAGCATACCAGAGGGAGAGCAGCACAGTGGCAACACACTGACAAGCCGATTCGATTTCAATTAGC